GACCTAAATATAAGAACTAAAGCTATAAAACACTCAGAAGAAACTAGGTATAAATATTTGTAACCTTGGATTTGGCAATGGTTTCTTCAATATGACACCTAAAGGATATGCAATAGAAAATAGATAAATTGGGCTTCATAAAAATTAAATTAATTTGTACTTTAAATTACATTAAAATAGAGGGGGAGGGGCAAGATGGCGGAAGAGCAGGGTCCCCAAATCACCTGTCCCCACCAAATTACCTAGATAACCTTCAAACCATCCTGAAAATCTACGAATTCAGCCTGAGATGTAAAGAGAGACCAGCTGGAACGCTACAGTGAGAAGAGTCCGCGCTTCTATCAAGGTAGGAAGACGGGGAAAAAGAAATAAAGGAACAAAAGGCCTCCGAGGGGGAGGGGCCCCGCGAGGAGCCGGGCTGAGGCCGGGGCGAGTGTCCCCAGGACAGGAGAGCCCCGTCCCGGAGAAGCAGGAGCTGCACCAACCTTCCCGGGGGAAAGGGGCCCGCAGGGAAGTGGAGCAGGACCCAGGAGGGCGGGGATGCCCTCGGGCTCCCGGGGACACTAACAGGCACCTGCGCCCCGGGAGAGTGCGCCGAGCTCCCTAAGGGCTGCAGCGCGCACAGCGGGACCCGGAGCAGCTCGGAGGGGCTTGGGCGGCGGCTCCGCGGAGGGGGCTGCGGGGCGGGAGCGCGAATCCAACAGCGCAGGCCCCGGAGCACAGGGCGCCGGGACACAGCCCAGGATCCGGCCTCCCCCGGGACAGGCAGAGGCCGGGAGGGCCCAGGACAGCGAGGACGCTCCTGCCCCGAGCTGAGCAGATCAGCGGCCCCGCCCCGGAGCCTCCAGGCCCTGCAGACGGAGAACCGAGAGCCCCGAGCCCCGTAGTTCCTGCGGAGGCTGAATCCAGGCTTCCAGAGTTGCCATAGCAACTGCGGCTGATCCTCCTGGGGCCCCACGGGGTAAACAACCCCCGCTGAGCCCTGCAGCAGGCAGGGGCAGAGCAGCTCCCCCAAGTGCTAACACCTGAGAATCAGCACAGCAGGCCCCTCCCCCAGAAGACCAGCTGGACCGACCAGTGATACTCCCCCGTGTTCCAATACAACTTGTTTTTGGCCACTCTGCACTGAGCAAAATGACTAGAAGGAAAACCTCACCTCAAAAGAAAGAATCAGAAACAGCCCTCTCTCCCACAGAGTTACAAAATCTGGATTACACTTCAATGTCAGAAAGCCAATTCAGAAGCGCTATTCTACAGCTACTGGTGGCTCTAGAAAAAAGCATTAAGGACTCACGAGACTTCATGACTGCAGAATTTAGATCCAATCAGGCAGAAATTAAAAATCAATTGAATGAGATGCAATCCAAACTAGAAGTCCTAACGACGAGGGTTAACGAGGTGGAAGAACGAGTGAGTGACATAGAAGACAAGTTAATGGCAAAAAGGGAAACTGAGGAAAAAAGAGACAAACAATTAAGGGACCATGAAGACAGATTAAGGCAAATAAATGACACTCTAAGGAAGAAAAACCTACGTTTAATTGGGGTTCCCGAGGGCGCCGAAAGGGCCAGAGGGCCAGAATATGTATTTGAACAAATCCTAGCTGAAAACTTTCCCAATCTGGGAAGGGAAACAGGCATTCAGATCCAGGAAATAGAGAGATCCCCCCCTAAAATCAATAAAAACCGTTCAACACCTCGACATCTAATAGTGAAGCTTGCAAATTCCAAAGATAAAGAGAAGATCCTTAAAGCAGCAAGAGACAAGAAGTCCCTGACTTTCATGGGGAGGAATATTAGGGTAACAGCAGACCTCTCCACAGAGACCTGGCAGGCCAGAAAGGGCTGGCAGGATATATTCAGGGTCCTAAATGAGAAGAACATGCAACCAAGAATACTTTATCCAGCAAGGCTCTCATTCAAAATGGAAGGAGAGATAAAGAGCTTCCAAGACAGGCAGGAACTGAAAGAATATGTGACCTCCAAACCAGCTCTGCAAGAAATTTTAAGGGGGACTCTTAAAACTCCCCTTTAAGAAGAAGTTCAGTGGAACAATCCACAAAAACAAGGACTAAATAGATATCATGATGACACTAAACTCATATCTGTCAATAGTAACTCTGAACGTGAATGGGCTTAATGACCCCATCAAAAGGCGCAGGGTTTCAGACTGGATAAAAAAGCAGGACCCATCTATTTGCTGTCTACAAGAGACTCATTTTAGACAGAAGGACACCTACAACCTGAAAATAAAAGGTTGGAGAACCATTTGCCATTCAAATGGGTCTCAAAATATACCCTAAAATCTATAGAACACTTCTGAAAGAAATTGAGGAAGACACAAAGAGATGGAAAAATATTCCATGCTCATGGATTGGCAGAATTAATATTGTGAAAATGTCAATGTTACCCAGGGCAATTTACACGTTTAATGCAATCCCTATCAAAATACCATGGACTTTCTTTAGAGACTTAGAACAAATTATTTTAAGATTTGTGTGGAATCAGAAAAGACCCCGAACAGCCAGGGGAATTTTAAAAAAGAAAACCATATCTGGGGGCATCACAATGCCAGATTTCAGGTTGTACTACAAAGCTGTGGTCATCAAGACAGTGTGGTACTGGCACAAAAACAGACATATAGATCAATGGAACAGAACAGAGAACCCAGACATGGACCCTGAACTTTATGGTCAACTAATATACGATAAAGGAGGAAAGACGATCCACTGGAAGAACGACAGTCTCTTCAATAAATGGTGCTGGGAAAATTGGACATCCATATGCAGAAGAATGAAACTGGACCACTCTCTTGCACCATACACAAAGATAAACCCAAAATAGATGAAAGATCTAAATGTGAGACAAGATCCCATCAAAATCCCAGAGGAGAACTCAGGCAACACCCTTTTTGAACTTGGCCACAGTAACCGGAGAAGGACAAACAGTGTATGTTCTCATTCATTTGGGGAATATGAATAATAGTGAAAGGGAATATAAGGGAAGGGAGAAGAAATGTGTGAGAAATATCAGAAAGGGAGTCAGAACATAAAGACTTCTAACTCTGGGAAATGAACTAGGGGTGGTGGAGGGGGAGGAGGGCGGGGGGTGGGGGTGAATGGGTGACGGGCACTGAGGGGTACACTTGACGGGATGAGCACTGGGTGTTATTCTGTATGTTGGTAAATTGAACACCAATAAAATTAATTAAAAAAAATTACATTAAAATATTTGTGCTTCAAAGAACACTATCAAGAAACCAAAAAGAAAATTTGCAGAATGAGAGAAAGTACTTGAACATTATATATTTGATAAACAATTTGGCAATTTCTCAAAAAATTAAACATAGAGTTACCATTTAACCAAACAATCCCACTCCTACATGTCCAAGAGAATTGAAAACATGTCTACACAAAAACTTGTACATGAATGTCTATAGCAGCATTATTCATAAAGGCCAACAAATAGAAACAACCAAATGTCTGTCAACTGATGAATGGATAAACAAGATGTGGTATATTCATAAAATAAAATAGCATTCATTCATAAAAAGTAATGAAGTACTGATATGTGCTACAATGTAAGTGAATCTTGAAAATATTAAACTCAGTAGAAGAAGCTAGATTCAAACGGCTACATAGTGTATGATTCCATTTTTATGAAATATCCAGAATAGGCAAAACCATAGGAGACAGAAAGTACGTTGGTGTTTGCCAGAAGTTGGAAGAAGAGGGAAGGGGAATTGGGAAATTTCTGTTGTTGGATAGGAGGTTCCTTTTTGCGGTAATGAAAATGATACAAAATTAGATAATGGTATGGGTTTCACAATTCTGTGAATATACTGAAAACCACTGAATTGTACCACTGAATTGTCCATATTTTAAATGTATATATATTTTATACATATTTATTATTTATATATTTTCATATATACATTTGTACACACATACATCCTTTATTGTATGTCAATTATACTTTGATAAGGCTGTTGGAAAAAATAAATTTAAAGAACAAATAGGGCAGCCCGGGTGGCTCAGTGGTTTGGTGCCTCCTTTAGCCCAGGTTGTGATCCTGGACACCTGGGATCGAGTCCCACGTCGGGCTTCCTGCAGGGAGCCTGCTTCTCCCTCTGCCTGTGTCTCTGCCTCTCTCTCTCTCTCTGTGTGTGTGTCTCTCATGAATAAATAAAAATCTTAAAAAATAAATTAAAAAAGAACAAATATATATTTGTATGTAATCTATACCTTTCTTTTTTTTATTTTTTTAATTTTTTTAAATCTATACCTTTCTACAGACTACTTCTCATCTCTGCTAGTGCCACCACTCAATCCAAACTATTATCTCTGTAAAAACATTCCTCACCTATCATCCTGCTTCTAGTCTTATCCAACCCAATGTCCTTCTCAAGAGTCTATTGTTCACACCAAAGCTGAGTCCTATTTTAAAAATGTAATGAGATCATGTCATTCACCTGATCCAGGACTTCTGTTGGCTTTCCATCACACTCAGAGATGCTCTGCTTTTACCAGATTTAGATATATGGCTCCAGCCAATTTCCCTTGGAGAAATGATTTCATGGCTAATAAAATTTTGAAAGCCTCTTTGAGAACAGAGGCTTTGTGAAAGAGACAGAGTTTCGGATAATCACCAGTATGGGTTATTCATGAGAACTGGTTCAGTTCATAGTCAGAAAAGGAAGAAGAGCTTCTAATTTGGATTGATAAAGAACAACCTGCTTCCTCTTACCTCATCTCCCATCTCTAGGCAACCGGCTTTTAACTTGACTTCCAGGGGCTCTGCTCTACCCCAATCTACCACTGCCAAGACGACCAAGAGGCAGGAGACTAGGGTACAGTGGAGCTCCTGGTAGGGAAGTTATAACTTATCTTCCAGGGGCTTGTTGACGAGTCATTTCCCTGTTTTCAGGAAGGAGTGAATCAAGAAATCATGAGACCCAGCAAAACTGCAGCAGACCCTGAGACTTTCAATTGTTCATTTCAGATCGGGTACAGAACATGTTCCTCCTCCTGCTAATTTTGAGCCTGGGAATGCAGCTTCACCAGACATCAGGTAAGAAAGAGCCAAAGGAGGGACCTGAGGAAGAGGAGTAGGTAGTTGCCCCTAGCTGAAGCCGATGATGAGAATGAGGTCCTCAGGCTGAAGGATTTCTTTGAAAGAAAGTGCAATTACTGTCTGTTAACATGCACAATAAAAAGAGTGGTGCCCAGGGTGGCTTGTGCTTGCCTGTATCCTTGTCTTACAGAAACAATAACCATATGGCAGATGAGGAAACTGGAATTCAGAAAAGGTATTTAATTTACCCAAGATGACGCAGCCGATAGGTGGCACAGCAAGGTTCCTACACAACTAATGTCCTTAGAACCTTAGAACCATCATCATGCTACGGTGATGATGATAATCAAGCATGGCAGAGAAGCCCTCATCTTCCCACTTTGGAGTGGGTTTTTGGAGTTAAATTTGATGACAGACATGTATTGAATGTTGATACTGGGCATTCACAAAACCAAAAAGTACGTTGTGATGAATTATGTTTAAGAACTAACCAAAGGGAAACTATAAACATATTGTATCTTGCTTTCTCCTCAAATTTAGAATTCTTTGTTTCTTCCCACAATACAGTATCTGGATAATATTAGTTCAAATATTAATTACCTGCCTAAATTGGACTGCCTTCTCTTCAAGGGTTTTTTTTTTGTTTGTTTGTTTGTTTGTTTGTTTGTTTTTTGGTAAGTCTTATCATTTCATGTCTTCCTACGTAAGGAGTTTTAACTTCAAAGATTTCTTACAGAAGCAACCTGAGGGAAGAAAAGTAACAAAGGGATCTGAGGACTGATAAGAATGCTTACTCCTGGGGAAGGGAAGAGATCTGGGATGAGGATAAAAACTACAATCTTTTAAGATTATGTATTTATTTATTCACAAGAGACACAGAGACAGAGAGAGTCAGAGACATAGGCAGAGGGAGAAGCAGGCTCCATGCAGGGAGCCCAACGTGGGACTCGATCCCTGGTCTCCAGGATCACACCCTGGGCCGAAGGTGGCACTAAACCCCTGAGCCACCAGGGCTGCCCTAAAAACTACAGTCTTAACCATTATGTTTCCCAGGTCTTTTTCTTTTTTGACAAGAAATATACATTAAAAGAAGTATTATACCCTTGCCTAGCTATTAAAAGAAATATAGTTTTACTTGTATAAGAAAAATATAAATTTTAAAATATAAGAATTCTTTTAAAAAGAATGCTTTAAAAGGCATATGAAGGCAATCAGGCTATGGCATCCAGTGCCCGAGGAGAGCCATGGCTGTCAGGTTGGCCACGCAGATGGCCTCATTCCCTTACTCTGGTTGTTCACCCCTAAATTTGCACCTCTTTTTGAGAACGAAAAAAAAAGATAATATGAATTGAAGGGATTCAATTCCTTATTACCCTCTCTATGTAAATTTCTAAATTTTAAAAAGAATGCTTGAAACAGCATTGTTAGTCCTTCCAAAAAAGCCCAAAACAACCAAATGCCCATCAACAGGATAATGCATAAATTGTGGTATATTAACCGAATGGAAAAATATACAGCATGCAAATAAATTAATTACAAAAATAATGCACCTACATTTAAGAGTCTTAGCAGCATAATATTGAGCTAAAAAGAACACAAAAAATCAAGCACAGAAGGCAACATATAGTACAATGTCCTTTTTATAAACAATATATTGCTTAGGTATCTATGATAAAGCTTAGAAATAAGCCAGATATTAAGAAACACAATATACAGGATGTTGATTACCTTTGGTGAAGGAAGTAGACCTATGTCATTAGTCATGTTCTGGTTCTTGGGGTAGGTGGTAGATTCACAGATGTCTTCATTTTATTTGATTTGACCATCTGTTAAAATTTTTCTTTTTTTTTAATTTTTTTTTATTTATTTATGATAGTCATACAGAGAGAGAGAGAGAGGCAGAGACATAGGCAGAGGGAGAAGCAGGCTCCATGCACCGGGAGCCTGACGTGGGATTCGATCCCGGGTCTCCAGGATCGCGCCCTGGGCCAAAGGCAGGCGCCAAACTGCTGCGCCACCCAGAGATCCCAAATTTTTCTGTATTTAAACTTTTATGTTGTAAAAGATACCACAGGTACAGGAAATCACATGAAACAAGTATAAAGCATCATGTTATCGTAAGGTGAACATTTGTAACCATCACCCATGTCAAGTAGTAGGACTGTATCAGACTTCTCTGAAACCCTTTATCTGCCCTGTCCTACATAGCCTCATTCTCATAACACTGTACTATCTACCCTTTTCTCCATTAAAAAAATTTCTTAAATATTACTAAGAGAAATCTTAGTAAGCACTCAGCAAGATAGGTTCTTCATAGTTTCAGAATCAACGAATACAGTTATCACTCATTCTAAAGGCTCTCTATATTTCACCAGACATGCTGTGACTTATTTAGCCAGTCCTTTATTGAGAGAAATCAAGTTGCTATAAGTGTTTATGCATAGATTTTTGTGAAGAATATGGGTTTTCATTTCACTTGAGTAAATACCTAGCAGTAGCACTGGTGGGTCATGTGGCAAGTATATATTTAACTTTATAAGAAATCACCAAAGCTTTCGATAGTGGCTAGACTATTTTTGCATTCCCAGCAAAGTATGAGAGCTCTAATTATTCCACATTCTTGGCAGCACTTGGTATTGACACTGTTGTGTTTTTTAAAGTCATCCTAATAGGTGTGTAGAAGTATCTCTAGTTTAATTTGCATTCCCCTAATATCTAGGGATGATAAGCATATTTTCACATGGCAATTGGACATCCATATGTCTTCTCTGGTAAAGTTTGTGTTCAACTATTTGACCATTTTTAATTGGTCTGTTCATTTTCTTATTAAGTCTTTAGAGTCTTTTATCAGATTGTGATATGCAAATATTTTCTCTCAGTCCATGGCTCATCTTTTCATTCTCTTGACAGTGTCTTCTGGACAGCAAAGATTTTAAATTTGGTAGAATCCAGTTTATCTTCTTTTTTCTTGTGTGGATTGTGCTTTCGGTGTCATGTCTAAGAACTCTAGGTAGCCCAGGCTCTCAAAGATTTTCCTATGTTTTCTTTGAAACACTTTGTAGTTGTACATTTTATATTTAGGTTTATAATCCATCTTGAGCTAATTATCATAGAAGATATAAAGTATATGTCAAAGGTCACTTTGTGTGTGTGTGTGTGTGTGTGTGTGTGTGTGTGTGATGTCCAGGTTCTTCAGCCTCACTTGTTGAAAAGACAATCCTTTCCTCATTGAATTGTCTTTGCATGTTTGTCAAACATCAATTGGCCATATTTGTGTGGGTCTATTTCTAAACTCCATTCTTCAATCTGTTCTTTGTGTATATATTTTCACTCATAGCACATTCTTCTGATTTCTATAAAATTATCATTCTTTTTTTTCTATATTTTTATTTCAAAACCTAAGGACATCTTGTAACCCAGATACTTTTAAGAGGAAATAGTCATTTTTGTACTTTGTCATGTCTTGCAGGAAAAGTAACCCCAATCATCATTCCATTTATTGATTTTTTTTTTTTTACTTCTTTCTTCATCCTCCAAAGAAGTTAAAAACCAGGGGCTCATAAGAATATGATGATGCTTGAGGTCGCTCTGGGGTGGGGAGCACACCCTGAATCCCTCCTCTTAACCCACCTTCAGCTGTAAAACTACTTCTTCAGGTCCCTGAGGTATACAAAACAGAATCAGGTTCAGATTTCTAAGAAATGAGACATGCCCTGCAGTATTCCTACAGAGGAGCAGATGGGTCAGGTGTCCAGAGCAGGCTTCTACCCTAAACTAGGAACTAAAGTTTTCTCAAGACTATGGTTGTGTAAAACAGCCCCCACCTTTCAAGTTCATTAAATATGGAGTCTGAAAAAAACTTCAGCTTCTGTTATTAAATGGAAAAAAAAGTATAAAATTAGCTTAAAGGGGAAGCTATCTTGGGAGGTAATGCAAATGATTTGTTTTGTGTTTCTGGAGATGTGCCAGGTACTGACTCTTATTGATGCTTGATTGCAAATAAAATACACAATTTCCCTAAGAACTTTCAAGAAGGCTCCATCATTACTCAAACCAGCTGCTTTAATCTGTTTAAAGAAACTGCATTTATGAATTTTGTGTGCCCTGGCCAAATTCATTACCCTTTAATTTAGTCAGGGGGCCCAAATGAATGGGAAAACCTGCTTTGTTTTGGATTTGTCTGCCTAATTATATAGTTGTGGAAACTTTTCAATTTTCTCCTTTGTCTTATAACTTAAGGAGTTTAGTGCTAGGTTGAAGCTTAATTAGCAACCCCTGATTTCAAGCTATATTACAAAGGTATAGTCATCAAAACAGTATGGTATTGGCAGAAAAACAGACACATAGCTCACATAGCTCAATCAAACAGAATAAAGAGCTCAGAAATAAATACACACACACACACACACACACACACACACCCCACACGAATTTTCCTAGGCATAAAGCTGAGATGACTTTTCAGTCTATCTATCTCATTTTGGATGTACTATATACATGCCAGTGGATATATGGTCATATCTGTAGAGTTGTTCATACAGGCTTTCAAAACACAGAGATATGAACTGGAATCCCAACCTCATGAGCTACCACTCTTTGACCTTGGGCAAGTTGTATCACTTCTATAAGCCTGAGTTTCACTACCCGTAAGATAGGCATAGTAACTCTACCTTGCAAAGTTGGGGAACATTAAATGAGATGATGATATAAAGATGACCCCAATGTCTTGCTCATTGTGTTTAATAAATGTTAACTATTACTCTACTTCCCAGTAACAGCCCAAATGCAGACTAGTGTCATAACTCTGATTCTCAGACATTAATGTGCACATGAGCTATCTCAACTTGTGGAAATTTGCAGTCTGCTTCTCTAGGTCTAAGGCAGGGCCTGACATTCTAAAGCCCTATTTTGCTCTCAGGTGAAGCTGAGGATGCTTTGAAAGGCAGGATAATAAAAGATGTTTGTGTATGCAGGTGTTTTATCTAATCAATAGTTCTCAATACTCTGCACATTAGAAGCCTCCAAGGAGGTTAAAAAAAAATTTAATGCTGGCCTCAAAAAAGAATTAGAATTTATATTTAAAGGATCCAAGGTGGGGCCTGGTATTTTTTTTAAAAAAGCCTTCCAAAGATGGCCAAAGTTGAGGTGTTCTGATTAATGATTCTGATGTGCATCCAAGCTTGAGAAAAAAACCTTCACGCAGTTGTTTGCAAGAGTGTTTTTATTTCCTCTGTAATTTGCAGTAAGTAAGAATAATTTAGGATCTTAAAAGCATATTGCATTCCCTGAACTCGTTTTTCTGGAGTAATCAAGCTCACAGCTTGGCATGTCTTAGAAGATTTAATTGAGGCAAAAATTACACCAAATAACAATCCTCTAGTTATTCTGAGCTACTCAGATATTTGATTCATGTTTGCTAATTGCTCTTTCCTCTTATGAATATTAGATAAAAAATATCACCTGCCTAAGAGGTAACACACTTTAAGCCTACAACCCCTGTACACATATTCTCACAAAGGAGAAAAGCAAGCAGAAAATGGATTTTTGTCAAAGGCCCAGAGCATAAAGAGGGAAGTTCTGCTGTCTGCTAGGGGGAGTTCCAGAGGAAGTTACAGACTCTCTCTCTCATGAGAAGCCTAAGTGTGGTAAATAAATTTGCTAGATAAATTCAATAGAGGCAACACCCAAAGTCCTCTGACATTTGTTATATCTCAGCCTCAGCAACTGAAGTTCCTTGCAAGTCCCATTTTTCTTCCCTGTTTCCTGCTGTATCATGTATACTAATAATACAAAAAATAGAAGAAGAGCAAAAGTGAATTCCTGAACCAGACACATAGATGACGATTACTATGTATTTGATGAATAAGTAAGTAAATATTCCCCTTTAGGCCAGAGTGGATTTGGTAGCAGGTAGCTCTGTCTTGGTTAAAAGGGGGATTTAATAACTCAAACTTTGTAGATGATCCCTATCAGAAGGGGATCTACCCTCAAGAAGGTCCTATCCTGGAGACCCAGAGTGAGAGTTATTACAAGTGGATGTCATGAAATGGAATCATGCAGGAAATTTGGAAGCACAAATCTCTTTTCACATGCATCATCCCACAATCTTCTCAACCTGTCTAAGCAAATGCAAGTGTGATCAGCAGTGTTTTACAAAGAAGCACTCATAGTATAGACCTGTCCCCACTCCATCCTGCACAAAGGAATTCTGGACAGAAGTGAACTCTTTTCTGTACTAGAGATTTGTTAGAAAGACACACTAATGTTCTAGTGATGGTTAAAACAGGGATTACAGGGCAGCCCCGGTGGCGCAGCGGTTTAGCGCCACCTGCAACCCAGGGCATGATCTGGAGACCCTGGATGGAGTCCCACGTCAGGCTCTCTGCATGCATGGAGCCTGCTTCTCCCTCTGCCTGTGTCTCTGCCTCTCTCTCTCTCTCTCTCTCTCTCTCTGCATCTCTATGAGTAAATAAATAAAATCTTAAAAAAAAAAAACAGGGATTACAGGCAAAACCCAAAAACTTGCTGGTTGTTCTTGATAAATCTCAACAAGTTGGGCATAACTATCAAGTGTACTGTGTGATGATTAAGAATGCTAGTTTGTGCAACATGGGCAAGTTGCAGTTTGATGAGTGGGAAGTATGTTAGGTTCATGCTTTCTTCTCTCTCTTTCTGCCGTTTGCCAAACTCTTAACTAGAACTTATATGTACTAGGCACTAAAGATACTAAAAGTCAATCTGGTCACTGCCTTCAAAGTCTCACAGGATTGTAGGAGGAGAAACTCAAGTCAGAAGAGAATTGCGATGTGAATCATTCAAGCAACAGGAAACCCAAAATTTACTTATACTGTAAAATCTATTGCCCAGGTGGCACCTGGGTGGCTCAGTCAGTTAAGCATCTGCCTTTGGCTCAGGTCAGGATCCCAGGTCCTGGGATTGAGTCCTGCCCTGCATGAGCTCTCTGCTCAGCAGGGAGTCTGCTTCTCCTTTCCCTCTGTTGCCTCCACCCAGCAACCCCAACTTGTGTTCTCTCTCAAGTTCCCTCTCTCAAATAAATTCTTTTTAAAAATCTATTGCTCAGGACGATCATGGAATGGGATATCTTGGTTAATAAAATATCATGGTTAATAAAGAAAGGCCAGGTGTTGCGTATACAGACCACTTTCCCCAGAATTATAACAGGGTACAAAAGAAAGGAACCAATGTTTGCTGAGCACCTACCACCTGCCAAAATAAGGCACTTCACACATACCATTTTGTCTAAGTTTCACCACAATACTTAGAGGCAGATATTAACCTTGCACCTTTATACATAAAGAAGCAGAGACTCACAGAGCTAAATGATACATTCAAGATCAAAGGGCTCATAATCATGATCCAGTTGATCTATCACTAAACCCTGTGCTCTTACCATATCACTTTTTATGATGGTAGAAACTCCTTGAATAGTATATGCTTAGAAGTTATCCACAAATATTTGTTGAATGGATGTTTGGACCAATTAAATGAATGAATGAATGAATGAATGAATGAAGTAAGCTCTCCTGAATATAATTTGATCTAATCTTTTGTCATGATTCAGAAATTAGTTTAAGATCTTGCTGCACCTTGGTCATAATGAATATCCATTCCTTAATGATAGAGGCGGCCTGATTTTGTACAGTTTCTCACAGTGTATTTATGCACCTTTATTAGTTTTACTTTGCTCTACCACTCTTCATGCCATTGTTTTTATAAATTCTTTAAAATCAACTCAACTTTTATTCTTTGAACAAAATAGTATACCCCTATGATAAATGGAAAACCCATATCACTGTTACTAGAAATAGAAGATATAGCAAAAATAAATGTGATGAAAGCAGTATTATTAAATTCTACCCAGATATATACAGTATCTGCCTGAGAGCTTTCTGTTTTATTATAAGGAGAAACAGCCATTGTTTGGAGGTGTGAGAGCCTAATTGCAAGTTATATGTTACTTGGAGGATTGAAACAGAATTGAAGAGGAAATAAATTCCTCTCTGAATAATTCAGTTCCCTCAGGCCTTAATTCTACTCTCTATAAAATTATTTTGCATGTTTCATATGTGCCTCATGTTTTGGGAAATACTGTTGCAGTGGAAACTATAGATTTTTAAATCAAACATTTAACTGACTCTGAATTTTAACTTTACTAACCATATGTCCTGGCATGAACCTCTTTGAGCCAATTTCCTCAACTGTAAAACAGTAATAATAATACATATTTCATGGTTGTATTTTCAGGATTAAGTGATGTAGTTATAAAGAGTAGGCCTAGCACAGGGTGGCAGGCAATGAGGAGGACACTTGATGGGATGAGCACTGGGTGTTATATGTTGGCAAATTGAATTTAAATTTTAAAAAAATGAAAAAAAAAAAGAGGATAAACACTTAAAAAAAAAGAGCCTAGCACAGTACCTGGAGTATAATAGGTATGCACTAAATCTTAGTTCTATTCTTCCCTTATCCTAATTGACAGAAAAGAAGAAGCTTGTCCAGTGGGTTTGTATTATGCAGTGGTTAAGGGCACTTGGAGCTTAGCAATACCTAGGTCTGATCCTGGCTACTTTTCTGTGCCTCAGTTTCCTTTTCTAAAAAGAAGATGGCTCTGCTTTGATGACTTTCTGGGAAGACTGAATGAGACGGTGTGTTGGCAGAAGACTAACACATTGTAAGAGCTCAACAAATGGTAATTCTTATTACTACCACTCATGAGAGGAGGTAGTATTTGACAGGGATGATATAATTTGATCCATATGGAGAAAATGAGCCTGGATAATAGGAAGCAGGATGGCAATGGGCTGCACTGGTGGGGTGTGTTGAGAGGAGAGAAGTATCTCAAAACAGCACATCAGGAGTTCCACGGTTGCCCGGACAGACCAGGATGCAGGAGGGAAAGGAGCCTGAAGGAGTGCCCAGCTGATGGCAGGTGTCCCCTGGGCCACAGGGATGGGATGGGCCTCCTCAGCTCCCACTCTGTACAGAACTGAGATGTAAAGGCAGACAGTGGGAGAATTTCTTGTGTTTTGTTCAGCTCTATTCACAGTGACGGTCCCTAAGGAACTGTACACAGTAGACTCTGGCAGCAATGTGACCCTGGAATGTCACTTTGACACTGGAGATCCCATGGAACTCAGAGACTTAAAGGCCAGTTTGCAGAAGATGGAAAACAATACATCCTTGCACAGTGAGAGAGCCACCTTGCTGGGGGAGCAGCTGCCCCTGGGGAAGGCCTTATTCCACATCCCTCAAGTCCAAGTGGCGGATGCAGGGCAGTATCGCTGCCTCATCCTCTATGGAGTCGCCTGGGACTACAAATATCTGACTCTGAAAGTCAAAGGTGAGTTGTTTCAAGGACTGGAATCTGTGGAGGCATTAGTGCAAGCAAAAACCCAGAGGATGGGGCAGCCCTGGTGGCGCAGGGGTTTAGTGCCGCCTGCAGCCTGGGGTGTGATCCTGGAGATCCAGGATTGAGTCCTGCTTCTCCTTCTGCCTGTGTCTGCCTCTCTCTCTCTGTGTCTCTCATGAATAAACAAATAAGAACTTTAAAAAAAACAAAAAAAAACAAAAAAACCCGGGAGGATGGTTACAGGGAAACAGGGCTATCTTAGAGAAAAACAGAAGCATCTTCCCAGAGAGATTTTTTTAGCATCTGAATATAAAGCAATTGATGTGAAAGGAAAATAGGGTCAGGAGTTGCAGGAATGTATGGATCTAGAGGGAAGGCAGGAAATGGGTCACTGAAAGACAAGAGGGTGCCAAAGAGAAGTTTTGCCTTGCTCAAGGTTCTCCCAAGGATCAACACTGACTCAATCACTCAGCTCCTCTTTAAACCATGGTTTGCCGATCATTAATGGATTAAAGTATCAATTTAGTGAGTAGCAACTGGGTGAGTGTCTTTTTCCAAATGAATAGACATGATCAGAAGGTGTCACATAGTAGGGGTGAGTGTCAGTTTGTGAAACTCCTGTTTCAGAGGAGTGCATGTTTGTGTGTGTGTGTGTTGGATTGTGATGTAAAATATTATTTTTCTCACTCTGGGTCATAGTCTAAAAAGTTTGGAAAACACTGCTCTAGTCCAAGCTTTCCATATTGCAAATGAAGCAGCCGGAGCCCAGAAAAGGGAAGGCGGGAGCTGGGGGAGTCCAGGTAAGTCAATAGCTGTCCTCATTCCTCTGGGTTAAGGGCTTTCCTCACCACAACACAAGCCAAGAACCTAAATCTGAAGAGAATCTTCAAGTTTGTGTTTGTTTTGCAAAAAGGCCATTTTGGGAAAGACCTGCAAGTTTATATAAGACTTTGCCAGCTGTGTTTTTCAGCCTGCTCTGACTGTTCTGGGTTTTCTCTGTCTCCTCCCAGTCCCACTCGTGAAGACTCAGAGGATCTGTTCTGTCTTCTGGAAAGTCCATAGACTTTGGTCCCCAAAGACCATTGGTTGACCTTGGCAGCAATGTTGTGACTTTGTGATCTGACACAAAAGAAGGATAAACCAAGAGGGTGAGACATGAGGGTGAATGGTGTTTTCACCTATGACCTTGGGCAGGTTATGTCACCTTTACAACCTGACATTTTTCTTATTTGTAAAAGGCTAGCCACAGTAGCACCTACCACAGAGGATTATTGTAAAAGTTAGAAGAGCTAATGAACATAAAGAACTGAGCATGATTCTTGGCAGGTGGTGAGTGTCCGGAGAGCTGGTTCAAAGACTTCCTCTCACCTCAAGACTCAATGAATCATCAAGAGAGTCATTAGCCTGGATGTAATTGCCTTCTGTCTTAATTGCATTTCCTCCATCCAGAACTGGGATGCACTCCAGAACTTTGAAGTTAGTCTGATTTCAATTAATGGGAGGAAAGTGGGCTCTCCATTCTCATGATCCCTTAATGTATTCAGTATCTGCACCCCTAATTCACTGCCTCCATGTTTGTTAACCTCTGTTTGCATCTAGCTGTATGCATCTAGGGTCTCTGGGCAACTCAGGGGCCCATCCTGCCACTCTCTCTCCAGCCGAGGGCTGCCCTTCATTCCTAGGAAGCCACTCTGCCAGCTTCATCAACTGGAGCAGAGATGGCTCAAGTGTGGAATCGGTTTATTCTTTAAATCATACTTACTTATTCTTTAAATCCTCGATGGCTTTCCAACTACAGCATATGAGGATCACAAGACTTTCTGAGAGGTTGCAGGGGCACAGGCAGTTTTAGGAAATGAGTTTCTGATTCTTCATCTTCCCCATGTATTCTTTTCCCAAAATGAGTGTGCCTGAGAATAAGCCTTCCAGGCAAGGCTCTAGGGGTTCCCCTAACACACTTCCTCTTTTATCATTGTCTTCTTCCACTTCATAAAAAAGGGTGCCTCTCACCCATCATGAATGTGGCACATTGCTTGGAGTGTAGAAAACTTCCATAGTGCTAAGCAGAAGAGCGATTAGAAATATTGATACCTTATCAAACTGTAATGACTAACAAATCATCCTGCAAGATAGGTGATGCCAAATTCTGTTTTCAACAAAGTTGAAGGAGGCCCTAGTAACATTTAAGAGCTGATGGTAAAATATAAAATAGGTTTCTTTTTTTGCTGTATAAATTATAAGGCTTTTAAGAATGCAATGACATCATTATAACAAGACTGCTTCCACTGGCACTAGTTTATACGAGTAAGTTTCCTTAGCCCTTCTTGCTGTAAAAGTGGAAAAATTGAAACAGAATCGAAGCTGATCTTGTATCATTCCAACCACAGCCACATGCATCCTCAGATTATGAACAAATCAAAAAAGAGAGCCCCATCCATCCTCTTAAGGGATACAGTTCCAGAAAATTTTATCTTTTAAGTTTAATCATTATCAATATTCATAATATTTTACATTTTGATTTTACATGTGCTGATAATAGAGATTAGATTTCAGTGCAGAAGGAAACTTTGAACACTTGAAGCTTTGTGATCATGAGTGAAACAATCCCAGTAAGCTAAACGTATTTTGTTGTTGCAAAGAAACATAAGGATAAGCAATAAAAGAGCTTTCTAACATGTTGAGTTAGGATAAAATCCTATAGAAAAAGTGGAATGGGAACTGAGGCTCATGGAATGGTACGGTGTGAAACAGAGCATAAAGCTCTGACCATTACGGGATGATTTTTATATGTATTTTTCCATGGATGGTGGTGTGTATAAAAGATACCTCCTTTGATACCCAGACAGCATTAGGTACATATGTAGGAGCAAAATCATTGTTTTACTTAAAATATAAATGTTTATAAAGCACTAAACATTATATATTTTTCCAATATAGACACTTAGGAAAAATTTTAAGAACCAACCTAATAAATATGTGAGAGGATGTATACTGTGTCACCACCTTTTAGGAGGAATGCAAGCAAAACCAGGAAAAGTTCAAGACCATCACCTAAGAGAATTTTACCCTGATCAGGGGGTCTCAGGAGGAAGCATGGGGCATCTGGCTCCTCAGTTAGGATTTGCTTCAGTGAAACAGGACTGGAGAAAGGATGTGCTTTTTCCTTAAAATGCCTGCTTGATGACATGAACTTGAAAGTAGGTTTATAGCACCATCTTTGATATCTGGGTGGCAGTTCATATTAAATACAGGGGAAAGAGGACTAATTTTTCAAAAGCACAGGAAAAGCAATACTAGGTAGAATGGCTAGAAAGTCTAGAAGACTTGGGTTTTTTTTTTTTTTTAAGATTTTATCTATTTATTCATGAGAGAGACAGAGAGAGAGGAAGAGACACAGGCAGCGGGAGAAGCAGGTTCCCTGTGGGGAGCCCTACGCGGGACTCGATCCCAGGATCGAGGGATCATGGGATCCTGAACTGAAGGCAGGTGCTCAACCACTGAGCCACCCAGGCGCCCTAAGACTCAGGTTTTTGGCAGGCAGCTTGCAAGTACCCAACTCTGAGTGACCTGTCAGAGGGAGGGTAGGGAGCGTGGCTGAAGAGAAGAGTCCCGGGGCCCTGGAGAGGCCAGGAAGCCCAGCGCCTAAGCCCACAGGCTGACCTCTGGCCCCCGCAAAGGATCCCAGACAGACACAGAACGGGTCCTGAGAACAGAAGGGCCAAACCCACCTGAAGGTACTGGCAGGACATGAGGAGGGGGATGGGAGAGCGCCAATCCACTCCTCCCTCTGATTGGACTGAGGCTCACAGAAGCATTTCAAAGCAAAGAAGAGGCCCCGGCTATATGGGAGTCCGAAGGAGGACTTAGAACAGAGCTAGGAGGCAAAAGGTTTCCATTTTCTCTCACAATGGCCTTCACCCTGAGGAAGAGAAGACAAAGGACATGGAGAAGGAACAGCCCAAGGGAAACACTGCAGCTTTGGGAGGACACGGAACAGCTGGGCTCTGGACCTAGAGAAAACATTGGCCTAACGCACTTCTGGGGCTAAATCTCTCCCTTCCCTCCTTTGGGGAAACAGAAGGTCATAAGGAAAGCTGGAGTTAAGACAATTATGTTCTGAATTCTGCAATGGAAGAAGCTCCTGAATGTCCTACCTGTCTAACCCGAGGTTCCTCCCATCTAACGGATGAATTGGGAGCAAGCCTAAAAGACTTCCTCCAGCGAGGACTAGAAACCCACCTACATTCTGGAAGACCAAGGCATGTAAAGCTACATTTTTTCACCTTCGTTGCCATCATTCTGATGATAAAGCAGATGATACTACCAGCAGCTTATCTCTATTTCAGAGATGCTAGAGTTGCCAGTGGCCTAGGGATCCCACAGTCAGAGAAGACCAGGAAAACTGAAAGGGTTCCAACCAGCAGAAATTTAAATCCAAAACTGGCATGTCTTTTAATAGAACAGCTGAGTAGTTGGCTGGGGAAAATGAAGGCAAATCAGCAATTAGCAATAAGGAGAAGCTGCTGCCTGCACTGGACTGGAGGGAGTGGGAGAAGGCGGGGGAATGGAGCTCAGGGCCTATGACAGATACTAGCCGCACAACGGGCCCATCCAGGGGTAGCAGGAGCAAGGAGGAGCTGTGGGTGCTGCTGGAGAGCCCATCTCAGCACAAGCATGGGGGAACATACCCTAAATTCTCCCTTCTGTTGGCCCTCCAGACTTCCCACCGTGCCTCCTGTTGGCTGTCAGGAGCCTGGGAGATAAGGTCTACAGGAGTCAGCCTGCATGCAGGACAGAGCAGAAAAGAAAACTCAAAGGCTGGATCTGAGGGTAGACAAGCCCAGGACCCACACAGCGTACATCCTGTGCACAACCTGCTAAAATGCAAGCTGAATGGTAGTGTAGCTGACTAGAACTGTAACAGACTAGACGACTAGTAGTCATTGAGTCAGGGCTAACAAAGGGTGATTGATGGTCTTGGGTCAACAGGAGACACAGTCTCCAGGTGCCAACAGGGCTGTTATTTGTTTAATAAAAGTAATCTCATGACCTTAGACTACATTCAAACCCTGCGTCGGCCTAAAATGTGCTCATAGGAAGTACTCAGCCACACTCTACTTCCTGCTGCTTAGGTAAAATCTGGAATACAGGTCATGTTCTATTAACAAACAAAGTGAATCCAAAGACTGATATATGCAGGACTTCTGGGTGGCTCAGCGGTTGAGTGTCTGCCTTCAGTTCAGGTCATGATCCTGGGACCCTGGGATCAAGTCCCGCATCAGGCTCCCTATTGGGAGCCTGCTTCTCCCTCTGCCTATGTCTTTGCCTCTCTCTCTGTGTCTCCCAAGAATAAATAAATAATATCTTTAAAAAAAAAAAAAGACTGGTATATGGAATTGGGTCTAAAAATTGTCCTGTAAGATACGGTTGAAGGAAGTAGACATATTTTACGCAGAAGGAAAAGACTATATGGAGCTTGCCAATTATCTTCAAATACCCAAAGGATCATATGAAACAGCTAATAATGATTGCTAATGTTAATTGAGTTTTTACTATATTCTAGGCATCTCATTCAATCATCCTAACATCTCTGTTAAGGCCAAGTATGACACTTGTCTTTTTTTTTTAAAGATATTATTTATTTATTCATGAGAGACATAGAGAGGCAGAGACATAGGCAGAGGGAGAAGCAGGCTCCTCGAAGAGAGTCGGTGTGGGACTCAATCTCAGGACCCTGGGATCACAACCTGAACCGAAGGCAGACGCTCAACCTCTGAGCCACCCAGGTGTCCCCATACTTGTTTTATAAATGAAAAACCTGAGGACTTGACGTATCATGCAATCAGCTCTTGGCTCAAGTTTTAGTCAAACCACGTTCATAACTACTATACTGCTCTAATGTTGTCATACTAAATCAGACAATTACTAATGGGTTGGAGCTTCCAAGAGGCAAAGTTTGACTTGGCAGAAAGATGATCTTTCCAGTAAAGTTTAACTTTCTTATTGTCTAATTATGGTAATGGCTGCTCCTGGAAGTAGGAGCTTCCATTTATCAATGTATTTAGCCAAAATCTGGTTATCTAGCGGCTTACCAATATCAGAAAAGAAGTATTATTAAAGATAAAAAGGGACATTTCATAATGATAAAGAAGTGAATATGGCAGGGAAACATAATGATCCTAAATGTGCATACATCTAACAACATAACTTCAAAACATATAAACAAAAATTGACACACCTAAAGGAGAAATAGATCCACAATCATATCTGGAGATTTCAGCTCATCTCTATTATAATGGATAAAGTAAGCAAAAATATAGAAGAATTGTGTAAACACCACCATCTTGGTCTAATTGACATATATTAAACACAACATATATTAAACATAAACCCAACAACTGCAGAATAGGAAGTTGGACTAGTTTGAATTATAAGATCACTTTTACATCTGAAATTCTAAAACTTACTCATCTATTCCTAAGAATATCCCCCTTGGTGTCCAGCTTCCCCATTGTGTGTGGCTAATAATGATGTATTATCACCCACTTCCCAAATCGCATAAGGCTATGGAGGTATCTTTAATATTGGATACATGCAGGCTATGAGCTCCCATCCCTTCCCCAAGTCTTAATGGTTCTTTTCGTTGAACATCTCTCTCATTCCTCATTTATATATCCCAAATTACAGCTTCGGCCTCCCTCCTGATTCCAGGCCCTCCTACCTCTGAAATCACCTCCAACTTGTCTCCCGAGATCAGCCTCTTATTGTGAACTACCCTGTAGGAATGGGCCAAACCTTCATATGCAACACATTGTTCCTAAGCAGCCATTTATTCTCCTCCATCCCCCCACCCCCACCCCAAGACCCTAGAGTTTACAGGAACAATCTACTCTATGGATAAAGGATTTTAAGAAGACACCAAACTAAGGGAAAATAAGTGTAGATAAATAACATTAAATGAGAAATAGGCAAGTCCTCAAAATGCATGCTTCAGACACTGTTGAATTGCTAGAGGTTGATCAAAATTGGCTTCAAGGAGACTGGTAAGTCTAACCAGTTCAAATCCTCACTAGGTTGCTTCAAAATCTGATTCTCTTTATCTTCCACTAGTTCCGTGTACCCCTAAGTCCTCAGGAAAACATATCCCCCTTCCTGTGTCTTTTGCTCCATCCCCAAGCTTTTTGCAGTTACATCGACAATCATCCCTTATGATGATTCCAATACAGAATTCAGAATAATGTAGCCATGAAGGGCATGAGCTGGAGTCCCCCTCCTCACCCCAGATTCCAGCTATTTCCTTATTTACAAAATAGAGATATGGATTTTACCTATCTCCTAGGGTACTTGAAGAGTTTAAATGAGGTAATATACATTAAAGAGATAGAATCAGGTTTTAGAGCCACTCACCCCTGTTCCTCTCCAAGTCCTGGACCAGGTGAGCTCTACACAAGAATCAATAGCCAAATGGGAAGTGAACTCCATTTTTTAAATTAATAACTAGACGAGCACATGATTTTCTTCTTTTCCCTCTCCCAACTTCAGGGCTTCTCTTTTTTCTTGCACACTCATCTTAACTTAGTGTTTAGGGAGAAAAGAGCCTAAAGTTACGCATCTATCCAGTCTCACTGATAAGAGAGTCCACCCCACCCACCCAGTTCCTGGAAGCTGGAAAACTGTGAGCAGGATAGATATCAGAGTTTTTTGAGGCAAGCAAGCCAGTCAAGTATGCTTTATCACATGGAGGCAAGAACTTCAAGAGAGGGCCTTAGATTGTGAACCACATGCAAGATACAGTCACCCAGTCCAACGAACCGTGACCCAGTGAGCATCTTTGGCTATAATAAATCAAGTTAGCAACTCATGACACTGAGATACAAAGGGAGGTGCTCAAGGGGCAAAAATTGTGAGAGGGCCTTGCACATTCCTTTCCCTCCACGGTGTGTAAAATTACAAGGCACAAAGCTTAGCCCCTAGCAAACCCTTAGTACTCTATGCACATTTGGTGCCTAACAGCCTTCCACATGGCTGTTATAATGATTTTCATGTAAAATTGCTTCTCACAAAGGGTGCACCTGTGTATACTCTTTCCAACAATTTTAGAAAAAATTGTTTCATCACACTTGTGCCATATATGCAATCAAAATTCTGTTTCTTAAATATTTCCTATCTAATGAAAGCAAGTACTCTTTTCCTCTTCCCTTCACTAAAAATCAACAGGTTACTTTCCATACTCCCTTATATCTGCATATGTTGTTAATATTTATTTTTCGGCTATAATCTAAGATAACTCTGCAGTTTGTCCTGGTGTCTTCCTGTTGTTTTCATTGTTACTTGTATGCATTTTAGATCTCAGTTTTCTAGAGGGCAGGGAGCCACGTTTGATGAATTCACTCAGCATACACTACACAGAAATGTGTGTGTGTTAGACAGGAGAAGAAGTCATAAAAATATAGCCAATTCTTGACTACTTATAGACAGAATCTAGGTCTTTAATTTTTCTCTTCCTAATCTCACTTCTAAGGAAAGGGGGAAATGGGAAGAGAATTTTCTCCTGTAGAAAAAGCAGCAAATAAGAATGTGAGCATTATCTAGTGATTTTATTTTTCATCCACTCTTTTCTCCAGTCCTCAGCTGTGAGATAATTTACAATAATCTTGTAAATTGGAAGGAAGCCACAGAGTGTCGTGGGATGAAGCCCTGTTGAGATTTGGAATCAAGCTTCCAATGTGCAGACATTTGCTTCACTAGTTATTAGCCCTACGAGTCTAGGCAAAATACTCAATCTCACTTCAGCTACCTCCAACAAAAACTGGGAATATCAACAATGCCAGTTTTGTTATACTGTAAGAATTAAATTAGTGTAAACAGCGTGATATCAGAGACAAAAGACATGTGTACAAAATTAACACTGTTATTGGTTCACATTGATGGTGGTAATTTTGTTCCTACCACATGGCATTGAGTACAAAGCTGTCGAGGAATCAGAAAAGAAAGACTTATTTCTTTTTCTTCTTGTGTTATCCAGCTTCCTACAAGAAAATAAACACTCATTTCCTCAGGATCCCAGGGCTGGACGAGGTAGAGCTCACGTGCCAGGCCGAAGGCTATCCCCTGGCAGAGGTGTTCTGGCCAAACGTCAGCGCCCCTGCCAACACCAGCCACACCAAGACCTCCCAAGGCCTCTACCAGGTCACTAGCGTCCTGCGCCTCAAGGCGCACCTGCGCGGGAACGTCAGCTGTGTGTTCTGGAATGCTAACGTGAAGGAACGTACTTCAGCCGTCATTGACCCTCATGGTAAGAGCGGCCCACGCTGCCTAACTCCATCAGTAAGGATTTAGCCAGGAAACATAGGGCACGTGCATACTGCGTACTTGGAGGATAGTGCGATAAAAGGTCTATTTATGAAGGTGTGGTCAGAATTTAAGGATATTGCAGGACCCTGTGGCTTCAACAGTCAGAGGAGCAGTCGCCACTGTTGGAGTGGTTACTGGATCCTGGGAAAGGGGATGGTAGGGAAAGTGCCCCTGACAGCAGCGGCGGCCTCCAGGAGAGGGATGCTGCGGCCTGTAGCAACTCTGGACGGTGGAAGCCCCGTGAGTGAACTCGCAGCCTCATTCTCTTCCCACCCTCCAGGCACCTGCTGGTGCCTCCCACTGGCTGAACCTGGCTGGAAGCCAGAGAACAAGGGCATCCACGGATGTGTTCCATTATGGTCAATCTCTCAGAGTTCAGAGCACAGTGTGGAAGTGTAGAGAACGGATCTGAAGAGGAAACAGAAAGTATCCAGCATAAAACTCATCACTGTGACTCAAGCGCAGTGTGGGGAGTCAGCAGGAGGAAGATTACTTTTCTGGCATTGCTGACGGTCAAGTGGTAATGGGGTTTTCAAGGAAAACTAGCTTTTGTAAAGATCTTTCGGAGCCTTTGCTGGCTATGGTGAGTCCCTTACTTTAGAACTTCATACACCAGGACAGTTTCGAACAAATTTTGGGAGTCTGTTTTTTATTTGCCGAGTAAGAACATTTATTTGCCACGTAAGAGTGACTAACATCTAGTATCAACGTCCTTTCGTAAGAGATAGGTCATTTTTTTATTTTTATTTTTTTTTAAATTTTTATTTATTTATGATAGTCACAGAGAGAGAGAGGCGCAGAGACATAGGCAGAGGGAGAAGCAGGCTCCATGCACCGGGAGCCCGACGTGGGATTCGATCCTGGGTCTCCAGGATCACGCCCTGGGCCAAAGGCAGGCGCCAAACCGCTGCGCCACCCAGGGATCCCGAGATAGGTCATTTTATCACCAAGCACATCAGAAGTTTCCTAAGGCTCCTATAATTAATTTCTGCAAACTTTGTGGGCTTAAGACAACATGAATTTATTAGCTTACGCCTCTGAAAATCAGAAATCCAAAAAGGGCTTTGCTGGATTTAAACCAAGGTGTTGACAGGATGGTAGAGGCTCTAAGGGAGAGTTCACTTTCTCATTTTTTGCAGCTTCTAGAGACCACCTGCATTTCTTGGCCCATGGTCCCTTCCTCTACTGGCAGAGCCCACAGCTGCATCACTCAGACCTCTGTTTCTTGTCATCACATCTTTCTTGATTTCTCCTGCCTTCCTCTTGTAAGGACCCTTGTAGTTACATTTGGTGCCTTCACCCAATCCAATAATTCAGGTTAACTTTCCCATTTTGAGGTCCTGAATATAATCACCTCTACAAAATCCCCTTTCCCCTGTGGGGTAACACATTCACAGGGATTCAGACATGGACATCTTTGAAGGGACTCAATATTCCGCTACCATCCCAGCAAAGGATATAATCTCCAAATAAAGAATAGTCCCTAGTACTGCTTAAATTCAACTTTATAGAACATATACTGTGTTGTCATTGTATTTCCCTTTTTGCCTTTTGTCTTAGTCACACAGAACAGAGTCTAGGACAGGAGCTTGTGTAGCATATGAGTATTTAGGTGATGACCTCGGGAACAGAAGGGAGAGGTTTAGGAGATTCAGACAGGGAAGAAGGAAAAGTTAGTCTAAGGTAAATTATTAGAGTTGTTGCTGTTGGTAAAACAGGAGCTCAAATACCCAAGGACCTCCTGGGAAGTGTCCAGACAGCTTCCTAAGATGCCCACTCAAAGCACATCAGGTGGAGGTCATCTGCTTTCACCCCTACTGTTTGCACCCCACCTCTCCTCCCTGTGAGCTTTGCAGGTATGTGGGCTGAGTGAGCTCCCCCCAGCATCTGCAGTATCAGAGGCATTCCAGGGCAGAAAGCAAAATATCCATTTGAAGTGAACGAAGTGAGTCAAAGCCCACCTAGACTTTCACTGAGCCACAGTGGAAGTTGGAGGTGAAGCTGGGAAGCAATGAGGCAGGACTTCAGTAGTCTGTCCCTTGCATTGCTCAAGGCTACCTATAACCTAAGTCCACGTGACTGAGCCTTTAGGCGGGGAGGCAGCCATGATCTTTTCAAAAGACTTCAGATGCAAGAGTTCATAGAATAAGCTCCAGCTCCTGCAGCTGCAGTTGATCCCAAACCATAATTGATCATTGATATCTCTCTCATCCACCACACATTCTAGATTTCCCTCACTCAGCCCTTCAGGTGGAACAGCTTGCTTCCCTGGGGGTGGAGAGGAGGCTGGTGACTCCAACTTTCAACCTGAACCTTTAGTTGCCTTGCCCTGAACAGACCAAATTGTCTTAATTGTCTTTTCATTGTTATTACTGACTGTGGAAGTCACACAAATCAGAATCTATGGATCCCTGAGTTCCAGACATGGCCTTCCTTGTCTGCATTAGGTAGCAGCATTCAAGTTCTTTTTGGTAATCAAGAACGATCACTCCACCAGTACAGACATTCTTTTCTCTGCCTGCCAGTCCACAGCAGGTAGAACTCAGGCTGACTGACCAATAGCTATAACTTTAGATGAGGTAAGGACATATCCCTTGGTAGAAGGGTAGATATATCCTTGCCGCCAGGAAGCTGGACCTTTAATCAAGTAGTGCCTAAATTTATGGGGATAAGAAGCAAACATTTCACAAGTGGGTCATTGGATATGGTGAGAAGGACCAACCTTCAGCATTGAGGAAGCCCTGGCACAGAAGCAGCTTGTGCTTGAAGTGAGATTGTCAAAGAGAAGTGAATCAGAACCTGACCAGAACCATCCGTCATTCAGCCACTTTCAGCCCTCGCTGAAATCAGTGGTGGAAAGGACAAGTTAGGAGCTAGGGCTTCAGAGATATCTGATCCATCTCAGATTCAAGGACATTTCCATCATGGACTGGCACCAATCTACCGACAAGACTGAGAACTTTAAAGTGACTCAATGCCCAGCTTGTCATTAATTCCCAGGATCTTCTTCCAGGGGGAAAAATATCCTCCCTGACGTAGGCTTCAGGGCATCCAGCTGCATCATTGTCATTGCCAACTCTTTACTTTCCCTCTGATCCACACTTTACTACCCAATTCCAACACTGGAGTTAGCCCATCTTCTTCCCAATGGTTGTGATGAAGTAAGGAGGTAAAGAAAGGAGTGTGCTAACAATCTTGGTAGAGATGAAGCCATTAGAAATGCCTCATTTTTAGGGTCAACTTTGGGTAAAAATAGTGATTTGGCAAGCTCCTCTTTCAACATTCTCTACTTCTCTCTTTCTCTTTTAAAAAGATTTTATTTAATTACGCATGAGACACACAGAGAGGCAGAGACATAGGCAGAGGCAGAAGCAGGCTCCCTGCAGGGAGCCTGATGCAGGACTCCATCCCAGGACTTCAGGATCACAACCGGAGCTGAAGGCAGATGCTCAACCACTGAGCTGCCCAGGTGCCCCTACCTCTCATTTTATCACAGTGAAGATTCCCAGACTTGTCATCTTATGAAAATTGAGCTATAGCTAATTCATACTAAAACTTTAGAGGCATTTAAATGCTAACAATCATAGGGGAATTTATTTTTCTTGGAATTGCTTACTTAACTGTCCTTTGCTGTGTGGAATCTCCTGCCTGGTTAAGTGCAAGGCAATAGTTTGGATGAAATGTGGTTTTCCAGATGGGTCAGGGAAATAGGGGCCTGGGTTATGTGAATTTAGAAATAACTAGAATCTAGCCTTTGCACCACTGATTATATCAGTATTTCTTTTTCTTTGTGGTAGAGAAGTGGGAGCGCACACTGACCATTCCTCTGGAAACTTTGAACCAGTGAGAAGTAAGGTGGCCCCTATTTCCATGGAAGCCAATGTAGCTGAATGCATAGTCAACAGTCATAGGAGGGGCCTATGGGGCCTGCATCAGCTCAGGATCTTCTAGGATATCATTCATAGATGCAATTGGCAAAGAGGTAAAGAGATCTTTGTGCAATTAGAGATTTTCAGCGTAGTTTTACCCATCCTTCCCAGAGTTATATCCATGCTACTACACCCTAATATCATTCTTGGGCTCCAGTCTGCAATCCTTCCACACCATGTGCTCTTTGAACTTGCTTGCACATTTCCCCTCCATGATTTCTTTGTTCAGGCAGTTTCTTCTGCATAAAATATAATTATACACCTTATTTACCAACTTCAAGCCCACCTTCTCTCCAAAGCAACTTTGATAACTTCACGGCACAAGGGGTCTTTCCCTTATCTCTCCTCCTAAGACTGATTACATGTACCATGATGTTGCTTGCCTGTGACTGTGTCTTTTGTCTTTCACTGCTATTTTATTTTCCATGTATTTTAATTGCTCATATGGGTCTTATTTATACCCAGACCAAAGTGAAAACAGAACAGTCTGCCCATACTAAGTCCTCAATAAATATCAGATTAATGGATTGGAAGATTAGTTTTGTAATCCCAGTCCCATTATCCCAGCCACCAGACTGTGTGGGCTGCCAGGTCACAGCAATCAAATGATCCCCTAGTTGGTGGTCCAAATACCAGCAACAAATGACTAAAGTCATACATCCTCTCACAGTTCCTCACTTCTATTTCTCAAAGCAATTTTTAAGTTGCTTTATGACTGTCCCCTTTATGCTCATTCTCATTAGTTGAGCTGCTCATTGCTGACTTCTGTGACCCACCACAAACTTCTGCAGAAGTTAACGAATAAAGCAAATACGGCAATGACAGCCTGGAGGTGGGAAGTGCTCCAGTGGCTCCAGGATGTGACTGAACATCCTAACTTTTAACCAGAAATGAAACGTCAATGAGACCATTTTCTTTTTGAAACAAGGGTTATTCTGCTTGGCTAGTTGCTGCATTTTCATGAGGAGATGTAATGAAATTAGAGACAGGAAACAACTCTAACAATATTTTTGTGGGGCTGGAAGTGAAGCCCTCCCAAAAGACCTGGAGGGGACACTTTGGCAGTGGTCAAGAGCATAGCCTCTGAAGTCAAACGGACTTGATCTTTAAATCCTCTCTCTGTTACTACTAGCTTTGAGAACATGAACATATAATTGAGACATCCTAGAACTTGGTCTCACATTTGTAGAATAAGGGTAAATAATGATAGATACCTTAGAGTGTGATTGTGGGGATTGAATGGAGCATGATTGCAAAGTCCTCAGCTCTCAGAAAGTATGGAAGCATGGGGGAACATATAAAGCTTCTAGCAAGAGTGCATGGGACTGTGGCAAGGATAATACATACTTTCCCCATTGCATCATCATATCACTGTCAAGTAACATGCAATTATTATAAAACAATCTATAAGAATATGTATTAGGATAAAGCTAAGCTGCCATAGCAGAGAGACCTCAAAATATGACTCTAACAAGACAGAAGTATATTTCTTTCTAATGTAACATTGAGAGATAGAAGGTGATTCGAGTTGGGGAGGTATCTTTATTCTGTTCTTTCTGGGTTCTTTCCATCTTGTTGTTCTCCCATTCTGTAGAATGCTGTTTCTGTTGAATTGTCAAAGCAGGGTCACTGCCAATCCATGTTTCAGAAAGAGAAAAGGATGGTGGAAGACATATCCACTGTTTTAAGGCCAGCCAAGACTCAGAAGACCCATGACTTGAACTTAGTTTACATGGTTGGTCATTCCTAACTGCAGGGGAACCTCCAAAATGTAGTCTTGAGAAGCCATGTGTCTGCTAATGCCTTAATACTAGGGAAGTAAGGGAGAATCGATTTAAGGGATAACCATACATCTGCTACAGGTAACTAAGGACAAGGAAGATCAGGCCAAGTATACTACATAGACAAATGATTAATTCAGCCCCAAAATTCCTTATTGACATCTTTCATGTAGATAGTACTTGGCTCTATAGGGGATTCAGGGGTGACTTAGGTGAAGTGTTTGCACTCCAAATACTTACAGTCTAAGCAGACCAACGTTCATCATTAGAAAGTCTTCAGGAATGTGTAGAGCTTCTGTACGTGCAAGGGGCTGTGAAGGAACCTGCAGAGGACATGAGTTTGCATAGAGGAGCTGAGGGAGCTTCTCCTGTTGTGAGGACACTGAAGAACTCACCGGTGTTACTGTAGTGGCGCTTATTAAGCAATTCCTAAAAGTAAAGGAGCAGTTGTAATCAGTGTGGGTTACCCAATGTGTAGATGAGCCAGGTTTCTGAATCCTTTCACCACATTGCTTTCAATAGAGACAAATATCTCTGGGGTATGAGCTTTGGATCAAACAGATCCAGGCTTGAAATCCTGACTTTGCTACTTATTTAGCAGTGATAACCTTAGATAGATTGTTTAGAATCTCTGAGCCTTACTTCTGGAACTCTACAATGAAGGGTTCAGATGAAACGGTGTCTAATCCTTCTCAGCTAAAATAATCTAGGATTATCAGATGGCATTGAGATGGAGAAGAGGGAAGGCAGTTAGTGGGACTGAGCCCTTACTCCTGAGCAGTTTTGCCAGGTTTTTCCTGGACCAAGCTCTTGTGCTTATCCTATATAAGTTACTACGTGGGGCAAAATTCAGGCTTTTGGAAAGGGCATAGCTTACTTGGAGTACTCTTCTACCTCCTACCGGGAAGGCCCCCCGCTCCAGCCTTCCCCATTGTCAGTCTAGAGCCCTTATTCTAACCTATAGATATCCAGAACTCTCCTTTACAAGGCCCTCCCCAGTTTCCAAAATTGCTCTTCTCATCTGCCTCTCTACTAAACTCACCTTTTCCTCAGTGCCAGAACACTGATTAGCTAAGCCAAGGACAGGTCTAGTTGTGGTAATTCATACTAAGGTATGTTAACACTACAATATTGTATTTTTCCAAAAAGATCCTGTTAATCCTTGAAATTGAATAACTGATAGTATGGAATCTGAGCACTGAGAGTGCTTGACAGTGGAGGGAGAAGACATGTTTGAGTTGAAGGGCTATCCTGGAAAGAAAGATGATAAGTAGATAGATAGATAGATAGATGACAGATGTATCAGAATGATGAAAAACATGGAATATGGAACCAGACAGCCTGGGTTATATCTCAGCTCTATCTCTTACTGTATAACTTTGGGAAAGTTTTCTAAGCTCTCTATACCTCACTTTTTTCACCAGTAAAATGAGAGTCATTGCGAATCCTGCCACTTAGGGTGATTGTGAGAAGTAAACAAAGTAGTAGATGTACCATGTGAGAAATAGTACCTGGCATGGAATAAATCCTCAGCATATTGGCTGTATTGGTTGTAACCTACTCAGAGGGCCAACTTGTTGGTTTACCTGCAAGCTACCATGTAATGGGATTCTGGTGTTTTTCTTTGATCTAGGTGGCAATGAACCTGATACCTCTTCAAACTGGCTGCTTCATGTTGTCATCCCTTCCATCATCATTGTTTTGATATTCATAACTACAATGATAGCCCTAAGAAAACAGCTCTTCCAAAAGCTTTGTTTTAAAAAAAGTAAGTGAGTTTTATTCATGGTAACCAGATGGACTGAATGTCTACAGTGTGAGACTCTGCTTTGCCCCAGTGGCCTACAGCTTCCCAGTCTCATACTATTCTCCTCAGGGCTTGTGCATTACTTTGGGCTTAGGGGCTCCTTCTGATGATTTTCCCCCAGAAGAAAATGGCTCTAGTCTTCAGTGAGCTGAAGTCCTCATACTAAGTATTTTAAAAGGAATGTTTTGTTCCTGTGCTGAAAGAGTTTGCTTTGTTCTTTGAGCCAAGAAGTGTCATTAGCTTCGTGAGATCAGTGTTATTTTGGCAATGCAGACCGCTGTGTGGTCAGAGTTCGCTGTGGGGAGGATGCCAAGATCACTTCAGAAGATCCTTAGGTTCTCATCCCTCCTTTCCCCAGTCTGGGTGTCAGCAGGCTGAGCCCTTCCCCCAGCCCCAGGAATCTGAATCCCCTGGTTGGTAAGGAAAAGAGAAAAGTGTGTGAGGCCATTTGGGGGCATGAAAAGCACCTGTTTTGATGGTGTCCTGAAGTCTTTCAGCAGCAACCCAGGAGTCCTTCCTCAGCTTGTCCTGTTCTCCCCCACCCACTCCTATTGAGCAACTTTGAACCCTGGCCACAATATCTGCAGACTGGTGCTTTCCTAAACTCTAAACTGTTTCTTTGTCAGCACCCAGTGTGTTCCTCCCAAGGTCTACACATGGCCTTGTTTATAGAAAAGGAAATGGCATGTGGAAATAATAGGAATTTGGGGTGGACACTATTTGAGAACTGGGGTACTTTTAGGTGGTTGTCATGCTGCATTTATAGTCTAACTTCTGTATTCTCTTCTGCCATAAGATATTGTCATGCTCTATTTGTCCATTGCCCTATATATACATCAACATGGGTACTAACCACAAAACCCTCTACTATAGAATCCCAGGAACTATTGTCAACAGAAAGGGGGGCGGTGAGGATTGAGGAAGAAGGGAAAAAAGAAAAAGAGAAATGATAGAAATGGAGAAGGAGAGCATCTCGCCATAAAGGAGGATTTTTAGTGTCTTATCCAATAGAACTTTAACTAAACAGGATCACTTCTGCAAGTCTGTGACCTCAGAGAGCCACAGCAGGTATCCCTCACCAGAATCTTATCTTCTGCCATCTTCTCTTACCTCCTCCATACACACCCCTCAGAAACAGATCTATGCCTAAGTTCCAGGCCTGGGTTCTGAGAACCTCTTAGTCACCTTGGAAATGAGCAACACAGTCTTCTGTCCCCACTCTCTTTGGGAGAATGAAATGGGGTAGAGCACTCAAAGGCAGAGCAGAAGAAATTCTTTCCATTATCCTTTACCCCAGTCTCACAGGTGAGTAAGGATTTCAGCAGCTCCAAACTGGGTGCAAGACTCAGGTACCAGCTGCGGTGGGAGACACTTGTTGCTAAAGAGTTAAGTGAATAAATTTGCAAATGATTCCTTTTTTGCTTATAATGAACCAGAGTGAAATCACAGCAGCCTATATAAGACATGCCCTCCACTCCCACCCCACAACTCACACGCACCGGGATCTGCTTTCTCTCATGGGAGGCACACAGGTGCACATGCAAAAATGCATCTGCCATGGACACAGACTCATGTGTCATGGAAGAAGGTTGAGAATGGCTGACACTGTGAATAGAACTTTAAACCAGGGTCCGAAGGCTAGGTCTGGACCTGATGCTGCCGTGTATAGGCTCTATGATCGTGTGCGAATCACCTAACTTCTTTGAGATGGTTTTTCTATCTGTAAAATGGGAAATGACATGAGGATGAGCATTTCACAGCTTATTGATCCAACCTCACTGCCACTACTGGGGTTCACCTGGACTAGAACAAGATCTTCCAACTTGTCTCCCTGCATCCATTCTTGCCACTTGTGATACGGTCTTTTGTCACTTTTAGCTGGAACAGGCTTCTAAATTCCACCAGCCTACTACATCTCCATGACTGGCCCTCCTCCAGGGCTTCCCCTGCTCACCAGATGAAGCCCCAACAAGCCCTGAGTGGTGTGACTCACAACAGCTTTACACTTCCTTACCATGGCCCGTGTTCTCCAAGCTCTAGCTGTAGAGGAGTTTGTAGTTCTCAGAGACCCCCAACTCCTTCAATCCTGAGTTTTCTCATTTAGCATTCGCTCTTCTTAAAGTACTTCCTTCTCCTAGTTCGCCTGAGTTGGTCATCCTTTATTTATTTTTTTACTATGCATTTTAATTTTATTTTTTAACTCAATTTGCCAACATACAGTAACATCGTTAGTTTCAGATGTAGTTTTCAATAATTTATCATTTGTGTATAACACCCAGAGCTATTCACATCACATGCCCTCCCTGATGCCTGTCATCCTTTGAATCTCAGCCAAGCTGCCATTTCATCAAGCCTGCTCTGATTCTATGCCCTCATCATACCCATTACAGCAAATCGCCTTGTGAGATGCTTCCATAGCACCTACTTCTCTTTTCAATACACTGAGCATTTATATGTCTAGGACCTGTTTTAATACTTTGGGCTATAAATGTAATTGCATCCCTTTTAATTTTCCAATTAATTTCCTAAAGCACCTACCTGCCCATCTTAGCCAGAAGTCTAGTGTCTCCTTCTTGCAAATTGTACTTCTTCACCTCCCACAGACTTGTCAGGAGGCTAACTTAGCCCACAGGGCTGCTGCTTCCAAAGAGGCAGGGAGGCTCCCAGGGTGCCAGGTCAGTTCCTCAGAGGGCCCTGGTTTTGAGCTGCTACTGTTTCTACTCCTGCCATACACAGCTCTGTTCCCTCTGGGGTGGGTGGATGAGGGTCTCCATCCAACATGCAAGACAGCCTTGCTGGTCCGGGTTCTCACACAGACCAGAATGACCCAAAATGACAACTTTCTGGCTCCCTTCACATGTTTTACCATTGTTTCCAAAGCAAGACCCTCAAGAGCTGATGAGACCAAAGGGGCTTCCTGCTTTAATTACAGCTGCACCCAGCCAGCTTCTTCTGCTCAAGCCTGGGATGGCAGTCCTAAATTCCTTCTTTTTTTTTTTTTTAAGATTTTATTTATTTATTCATGAGAGACACAGAGAGAGAGAGAGGTAGAGACACAGGTAGAGGGAGAAACAGGCTCCCCGCGAGGAGCCTGATGCAGGACGCGATCCCAGGCCTCTGGGATCATGGCCTGAGCCAAAGGCAGACACTCAACCATTGACCCACCCACGTGCCCTATAACTTTCTTGAGTTCCTCTTAGAGCCAGGCTGCCGTGAACTTCTCAATCCATCTGAGAGAGTCAAATAAAGGGGTAACAATCTCATCCCCTTTCTAGCCAGAAGGCTCCTTGGTTTCTAAACAGATTTATCCACCTATGTTTCAACGACCAACTCTGCACAGCATGATGTACTGGGAGGGGCAGCCGTGGTCAGTCCATGTACCTAAGAGGAGCACTCAACCTAAGAGGAGCATTTTAACAATTCAGAGCTCCAGGTGACTCACTAGATTCTAGAGAAGAATCTAGCAACTTCTATTGTAAAAACAATATCAAGGTCTGCTACATCTGCTAGTCTGTAAGTTTCATGAGTGCTGGGGCTGTGTTTCTCTTATTCACCAATATATGCCTACTGTCTGAAACGTTACCTGGCATGTAGATATTCAATAAAATTTTACACATTGAACTTACTATCTGCAGGTACCCATGCTAATCTGCTCCATATGATATAATAGCCACATGTGTTATTTACGTTTAAATTAAATAAAAATTCAATTCCTTGGTCACATTTTAAGTGTTTATACCTTATTAATGCTCAACAGTAACATGGGGCTAGAGGCTACTGCATTGGACACAGCAGATATACAATATTTCCATCTTTGCAGAAAGTTCTGTTGGACAGCACTGGGCTAGACCCCTTACAAACTTCTTTTCAATTAATTTTACAAAAACTGCTTGAGGCAAGGAATAGTGTTGGTATGGCAGATGAAGAAACCGAAAGTATTCCTAAAGTCATATAGCTGGGGTTTGAACACAGGTCTGTCTAACACTAATGTGTGGCCTTTTTTGTTACCAAAGTGCTTAAAAACAATTGACTCAATCTGACTAGCATTATTTTGGGCAATGGAAGGAGAGAGTTTCATTCCAAAAGAATTGAGTGACTTGACCATTGGCTGGGCCAATGGAAAAGCCAAGCACAGAATCTAGGAAAAGTCACCAGGTCACCATAGAGACCAGATCTCTAGGATAGGCCTACAGGTCTTATTTATTTATTTATTTATTTATTTATTTATTTATTTATTTATTTATTTAGATTTATTTACTTATTCATGAGAGACAGAGAGAGAGAGAGAGAGAGAGAAGCAGAGACATAAGCAGAGGGAGAAGCAGGCTCCATGCAGGGAGCCTGACATGGGACTTGATTCCTGGACTCCAGGATCACTGCCTGGGCCCAAGGCAGGCGCCAAACTGCTGAGCCACCCAGGGATCCTCGGCCTACGGGTCTTAAGAACAGCATTTCTCAAATGCTCTGTGGTAAGGAACTATTTATTTTTATTATATTTTTAATATGTTAGGGTCAATGCTTTTGCAAAATAAGCTAAATTTTGAATTACTAAAAAGAAAAAGAAAAAGATATACAAGCCCAGTTTTTACTGGATTCAATAAAATATATGACATTTCAATAAATGTCAGGAAAAAAAATAGACAAATTACTATTAAAGTTTCTAAATGTTTATACTAGATCTCTACAATTGTCTCATTGAGGGCTGCTAACCAATAGTTCACCTACCACCACTAGTCCATGGACTCTACAGTCTAAATGACACTGTCCTAAGAGATTGAGCCAGGACTTTACAGGGATTTAAACCAAAGACAGAATATGTTGGCTGATGGTTACTTAAGAACCATAGAATGGCTGCACTAATCCCAAGCATTAGAGAGGACTGCCCTAGGGGTGCCTAGGTGGCTGAGTTGGTGAAGAATCTGCCTTCGGCTCAGGCCCATGATCCCAGGGTCCTAGGATTGTGCCCCACATCGGGCTCCCTGCTCAGCAGATAGTCTGCTTCTCATTTTCTGTCTGCTGCTCCCCTTACTTGTGCTCTCTCTCTGTGTCTATCAATAAATTAATAAAATTTTAAAAAGAGAGGACTCTACCATTCAAGGACAATTTTTGTGGGTTAACTCTTAGGCTCAGTGTAAATCAAATATAAATCCTTGTAAAGAAGATTGCAATGCTGGATGGAGGCCCTCCAAGTCCAGGCCAACATCAGTATTGTCATGAGGGAATTACTAAAAGTCTGGTATACAGAACAGAAGCAGAATTAGGGATTCACTGAGTTCAGATACCCAGGCAACTGCAGGACATGGACATGAAGCTCTGGAAGAAAATCAATGTAGGGGAGAGAATGTGACATCAGGGGTTGAAAAAGAACTGAAACCAGGGGAACAGTGGTTTCCTTTTATGAACTTGTGCTTCTTCCCCCTGAGTTACTTTGAAACAGTATCTGTCATGTACACCTTAGTATAAATTAATTGATCGGACCTTTTGCGCTATGTAGGGCAGACAGGAAGGAAGCGACAGTCAAGAACAAAGCAGAAAAGGGAGAGAGAATCCTGAAGCCAGATGTTTCCTGGGCTGAATACCCAAATTAGCAGGCCCTCAGTTTTTGAGTGCCTGGGACCAGGGTTTGAGAAAGGAAAGCAGAGGACTGCTTTGTTTGCAGTTTTCACCTAAGGGTATGGTTTTACATACCCTGTCATTCAGCCTGAGGTCTCCAGCCAAAAGGCACATTTGGATTTTTACATGTCTTTTATTTGGATTAACTTTTTGTTCTGCCATCTTTTAGCCTATAAGCAGAATACTTTTCTCATTAATCTTATTCCATCACTGGAATTTCTCTTTTTCAGACACAACAAAAAACTCTATCACCACCGTAAGGAGGGAAGTGGACGGAGCTGTGAGTAGTCCATGATTTGTCTTGTTTTTTTCTGTCCCAGCTTGATTTAAGAAATGACCACTGTTCTATGAATGCACAAAGAGCAACTGGACGGTTTCAGTCTCTGCAGAATCTTCCTGTTCAATGGCATTTCAGCTAGTTGCTGTTGTAACCGTATGTTGTTCTATATTTTCTTGGGAGGAAAAAAACATGTTGTTTTTTTTCCAAAGTTGTACAGCCTTTGGTCTGTCTATATTTCTAAGCTCTCCAGCACAGCACATCTGGGCTCACATATTTAGAAATGTGGTTAATACTTAACACCAAGGGAAGATATTCAACTGTAAAGCAACCAACAGCTCCTGTTTTTGCAACAATTACTAAGTACGTTGTCTTGGCTATGGGTCAAGTTTGTAATGCTCAGGGAGTAGAAAGAAAGTCTCTTCATGAAGTTGACAAGCTTGGAGTTGGAATTTGTGGAAGATGGGATGTGGAGGTCAGGGGAATTGGGGTTGCTAAAATCATTTGGGCTAGTTGGATGAAAAGCAAAGACCCTGGGGAAGTAGTGTTTTGAGGACAACAGGCCTGGGTCATATTGCACAAAGGGTATTTCTAGCTCTCTTGGGAAAGCCACCTTTCATTTTGTAATCTAGGAATCACGTGGTGTGACACATGAATTCATGAGTTCACCAAAATGAGAGGCAATTCACAGAAATTTCTAAATAGCTTTGTTATCAGCCACTCAAAATATTCAGAACTGGTCTCTTTAGAATTCTGCTGAATATATCTGTAAAATTCCAGAGGCACCAACTGTAAAAGCAACTCTAGAAAACCTTCCATACCAGGGTCTGTGTCTGGCCGATACAGAACACACAGCAACTTATAAACATAAAATAGGACCAGAAGGAATAAAATTAGGCCCTGCAGCCTCCCACCTGCCACCATATCCCTGAAAGCCATTCGTGAACATACAGCCTGTTGCCGTAATACTCATCCCTGGGTGCAGAACCAAGGAGCAAACTGCAGCTTAGACCTGAGCTATACTTGAGGTCCAGTTATGCTGAGTTTCTCTGAATCCACAGTGAGATTTTCTGGACTCAGAAAAGTTTCAGATTAATACTGGCAGTCCTAATTGAAACATCTGTTTCTTGAGAAACAAAACTCCTGTGTTCCTATAGATCCATCCACTTGATCAACAGGTGAGTTTCCATGGGAGTGGCTCAAGCATTTGTCTGAGTTCCCTGAGCTTGAGCCTTTGCATCTGTCTCCTTCAACTACTCAGCAGGAGGAAGAAATAGTGAAAGTCTTGAGAGCATATTGCCAGACAGGTGTTGAAATGAGTAAGAAGAACATTCTATAACCAGGTAGGGAATGGTGACAAATGGACTAGCCTAATATTGTCAGAGAAGATGGAAATCCAGATTTTTATATAAAATATCCTGGTGATTAAATGCTGCCTGAAAGTATTTCAAGTACCAAACAAACCAAATAAAATATGTCCATAGGCTAACTGAGCCCACCAGTGGCCAGTGGCAACCTCTGTCCTAGAGAGAAAGTATTATCAGAAAAGAGCTTAGAATCTGAGTAAGAAAGGCAGAACCATCCATCTGAGGAACTGAGAGATGCTCAAAAGCTTGCAACCATTCTAAATGTCTCATCCTGCGGCCTCCATATGTCTGAATATTGCCCTGTTAATAGAGTGACTTCTTTGGATTAACAGGGTATCAACCATTTTCAAATACCTCTCCTTAAAACAGAAAAATCTCATATCCTTTTAAAATGGTATCTGAAATTCAAAATGAAGTAAATACTTGGTCAAAAGGCAAATTAAAGAAATAAGACTAATTCTCTTTCCTCCAACCAATGATAATATAATCACCCTTTGTACCTTCCAACCTGGGGCAGGGAGAGTCAATGAGGTGAGGGAATGATGCTCCTCTTCTCCCTTCTTCACTCCTCCCTGGAACTTACCTGAGAATATGTGCTATGCTGTGAAGAAGTCAGAACCACTTAGATACATATCACAGAGGACTCACATAGGAATGTTCCTGGTACTAGTATTTACAAGAGCAGCAAATTAGAAATAATCAAATATGAATCAATGGGAGAATAGGTGACTAGGAAGTAAACATAGCAACTAAAATGAAAGCACCAAAACTGGATGTATTTTTGAGATGGATAACTGAAAAACATAATTTTGAGAGGAAAGATAGATTTCAGAAAGATATAGACAATATATTGGCAATTACAGGGTTTAAAAACATGCAAAGAACCTCTACGTAGCGTTTATGGAAACAGTCCTGTGAAGTAAAAGTACAAAACAGCATGGAAATTCTATACACCAAATTTAACCTCTTAAACTGGGTGGTTGGGTATGCAGATGTCAATGATATTATTCTGGGGGGTAGGCACATAGATGTTGACAATATTATACTTTGTTGTGTGCCCAAAATATTTATTTTTATAAAAAAGAGATCATGATTAAAATTCAAGGAATTTAGATTCAAGTTTTTCTGTGAGCTAGCTATAGAATCTCAGGTAAGATCCACTCCCTTTCTGGGCTTCAGTTTTGTCACCTGTAAACCGAGAGGGTTGGACCAAGTGCAGAAGGGCAAACAGGCCTCCTGTCAGCTTCAGGAGGTGCTTAGGGCAGAGAGAAGGGGATGGTTTGGGAGACCATTTCTAGGCGAGGAGTGTGGTGATTGAAAAATGATGTCTGCTTTGGGTGGGGATGCGGAGAAGTCATAGATCTTGGCCATATATTTGCCAAACGTGGAATAGATGCTCTTTTTAAAAAAAACAGTTATGTGTGTATCTGTGTTTCTGTTTATCTTTTGTCACATACATGCATATTTTAACCCTTACATAATGCCAACACATTATGTTGTTTTCCTCCTGGTCCAGTCGCATTCAAAGTTATTTGTGGATTGACTCAAATGTAGAAATTGACAATGATCAATGGTGGTGGAATATTTAAAAAATGGCTCATTTTTACTTAGCATAATGTTTTATGACTTTGTCTAGACAAATATCAATGTGTTAGATTTCAGTGTTGTTTTTTTTTTTAAAGATTGTGCTTATTTATTTGAGAGAGAGAGACAGAGATGGCAACAGAGATAGTGAGTGGGGAGGAGAAGAAGCATCCCTATAAAGTTGCTCACCAGTTGTTAACACTTTATGGAGAACTCATTTTGCATTTTGGAGACGATCCCCTAGGAAGAAGAGGGAGCAGGACATGGAAATAGTGATTTGGGGAATGGGAAGAGAATAGGTCTGGGGCCCACTGTTTGGAGGGCCAAAGAACTTGGTGCCTGTTGTTGAGGGCAAGAGATACTTCAGGCTCTTTCAGGGCAACAGAACCACAGAACCACTAGGAGACTGGCAAATGTGAAATCTGTAGGGCAGGCTTGCAGGCTGGAAGTTCAGGTAAGACTTAAAATTCGGAAACCTAAATCTGTAGAGTAGGCCAGCAGGCTGGGAATTCAGGTGGGACCCATGCACCACAATCTGAGGCAGAAGTCCTTCTTCTCTGGGAAACCTCTGTTGTCACTTTTCAACCAATTGAATGAGACCCACCCACATCCTAGAAGGTCATCTGCTTTATTTAAAGTCCCCTGATGGGGAGTGTTTATCACATCTACAAAATACCTGCTTCACAGCAACATCTAGACCAACACTTAACCAAACGCCTGGGTACAACAGTCGTTTAGCCAAACTGACGCAGAACATTAACCGTCACAGGCATTGAGATGTGAGGGGGGCAGCCTTGGCTGGAGTAAGTGAATTTCCCGGACTCTTCTGAGCCTGAAAAAAAAGTAGAAGTATGTGACTATCTATTATCTGGTCACAGAGTTGTCCAAGAGGCCCGGGTTCTGTCTAAAACCCATTCAGCCATGAACCTGCTGCCCTAGATGTGCACACAGACTCACTTTTAGGGTTTCCTGCTCAGCTCATTGCCTCTTTCAGCAACAAAAGGATGTGTGACTTATGAGCGTCCTGCACTTTATGTGTTTTGAAATAACGAATAGGTGAGTAAACTAGGAGGGGAAGAACAAGGCTGTCACCAAAATACCCTGATAAAATTAAGCTGAAGGGTTTGGAAATGATTCGTCTATCTTACCGTCCATTTGTCTGTGGTTCTTGTAGTTTATTCTGCGGTAAATGTAAAAGTTAACTGATTTTGACTGAATTTTGTCTCACTACTACAAGCTAAATCTTGTTTAATTTTAGTTGTTGGCCAGCTCAAAAATAAATAATTTATACACCTTTTAGAACATTTTTAAAATTACATATTTTTTCCTGAGCAAAAATGAAGCACCAGAAAGTATAAAGGAAATTAAAGTAATTTAGAATCCATTGCACACAGATTACCATGGCTAATACTTAATATTGCTTCAATTTCTAATTTTTTTTTGTATTTAAATTTTACAAAATCAAATTACAAGGTATACACATAGCTTGATACAGTTTTTTTAAACTTAATTTTGTGTTATTAGGATTACTTATGTGTTTAATGGCTTTCATATTTTATAGTATACATGGACTGGGACTTAGCTTCCTAATTCCCTGTTGCTGGACATTTCATGTGTACCTTATAGAATCATTTCATGTTTTTGTTATTTAGGTATTATCACAATTAATAGCCTTATACATAAATCTTTATATTCAGCTCTGATATTACTGTAGGTAAAATCTAAGATGCAAGTTACTGGGGGTAAACCTGTAGGCATTTTTAAGACTCTCAAAATGTATTGCTGAATTGCCCTCTAACAGGTTGTACCAATTTGTACTAGCAATATATGAAAGACCTAGTTTTATTATTACACCTATCCCAGTGCTAGGTATTATTGTTTTCAAATTTTACTAATTCAGAAATTGAAAATTGTACATCTCGCTTTCTCTCTTGCTTTAAAAGAGAGAGAGCATGTGAGCATAAGGTAGGGGGGAAGGGTGGAGGGAGAGGGAGAGGGTCTTTTTTATCTTTTTTTAAAAAAGATTTTTATTTATTTATTAATGAGAGACAT